TACTCCCGCGCCTTTGGGTGGCTGAGGTGAGTGGATTGCCTGAGCCTGCGGGTTCGAGACCCGCCTGGGCAACTTGGCGAGACCTCATCTCTACAAAAATCAAAAAATTAGCCAGGTGTGGTAGCGCTCGCCTGTAGTTCCAGCTACTTGGAAGGCTGAGGCGGAAGGATCGCCAGAGCCCAGCAGGTCGAGGCTGTGGTGGCTGGGAGTGGCCACTGTACTCCAGTCTGAGCAACAGAGTGAGACTTTAACTCAAAAAAAAAAAAAAAAAAAGAAGTCCTCAATGTAATACACTATAAGAAGCTAGACGCTTGTTTCAAAGTCTTTGCTTACTACTAAAAAAAGTTTAAGAATGTTTACAATTGAGCAGAACCCTAGCCACATTGAATTTCCAGCCCCGCTTTCTTCTTCTTTTTTTTTTTTTTGGCTGACTTATACCTCAAATTAAATGTTTAACAGATAACAGTACGTTGGCCTAGTTAGTCACAAAAGCATGTTATTTTGGTAAAATTTTATGTGAGTAAAAACAAGCTTTGTTTTTTGTACCAATTCTGGGTCAAATAACAACATTTAGACGGCACTGTAGTTTTACAGGATCCTGTTGCTTTTGACCTAGCATCAGCTAAATAAAACTGTCCACAGGCAGTAAAAGACAGACACACTGGGAATCCCGTAGAATCCGCATTTGTATATTCACCTTGAGAATTCTCAGTCTCGAATTCCATTTAGTTTCACTTCTCCCTCTCTGAGTTTAGAGTTCTGTTTGGTCAGCTGAAAATATTTATTTTTACATGTTTGTATTCAAACTAAAAGTTACAAATCCACCAAAATCAAAGAATGCCTAAACAGTAGGAACAAAGAATAATGGGGTCAAATTGAAACAATGGGCATTTGCCAAGATAAGAAAATAAATGTGTAGCCAGGCTCAGTGGCTCAGCCTGTAATCCCACGCTTTGGGAGGCTGGCTGAGGTGAGTGGATTGCCTGAGCCCGCGGGTTCGAGACCCGCCTGGGCAACTTGGCAAGATCTCATCTCTACAATAAATCAAAAAATCAGCCAGGCGTGGTAGTGTGATTCTGGCTACTTGGAAGGCAGAGGCGGAAGGATCACCGGAGCCCAGCAGGTTGAGGCCGCGGTGGCTGGGAGTGGCCACTGCACTCCAGTCTGGGCGACAGAGTGAGACTCCAATCAAAAAAAAAACAAAGAAAATAAACGTGGCCTTTATAAACTTTTCAAAGTAAAAATATTTAGAAATGGTTGGGTGTGGTGGCTCACACCTGTCATCCCAGCACTTTGGGGGGTGGAGGCGAGAGGATTGCCTGAGCCCAGGGGCTCGAGACCAGCCTGGGCAATGTGTGAGATCTCATCTCTACAATAAAAAAAAAAAAAAAAAAATAGCCAGGCATGGTAGTGCACGCCTGTAGTTATAGCTACTTGGAAGGCCGAGGCAGAAGGATCGCCTGAGCCCAGCGGTTGAGGCTGTGGTGGCTGAGAGCACGCTACTACATTCCAGCCCGGGTGACAGAGACTCTGACTCAAAAAAATACATATATAATAATTAGCCAGGCGTGGTGATGCGCATACTCAGGAGACTGAGGCAGGAGGATCACCTGCCCAGCAGGCTGAGGCTGCGCCAGCCACGAGCATGGGCAACAGAATGAGACTTCAACCAAAAAAAAAAAACCAGCAACAGTAGTCAAGCTCTTAACATAATTAAATCAGGAATCTGACAACACAAATATGTATCCACAACAAAAGTTTTTACACATTGTTGGTAACCTAATGGGAGACAAAGCTCAAGAAAACTGCCCAAAATATCAGAGTGGACACAGAGACACGAGTGAATGTGATAAAGGGGAAAGCACGCAGTTGCAGGAGATCTGCATTTCTCAGGCTCGCTTCCGAATGCCGATGAGGGCTGAGCTCAAAAGCACTCTCCTCTCACCGTCTTCCCCCCCCCCAGAAAGTGGATCCTGACACTGAAGACTCAAAAGAAGAGTCCAGCTGGACAGATGTCTCCGGGCATGCTCTGACCCCAGACTGGAGGAGCGACATGTGTTTTGGAGAGCTTCTCCAGGACACTGACACCCTAGCTCTGTGCCCCAGCTGGCTGGTAGGTGAGGACAAAATACCCAGAGGACATAATGACACAGAGGAGTACTAGCATGAAATCTCTTATCTTGCTAATAGTTCCTGGTACTTTTCTCAAGAAGGTATGGCTGGACTAGGTGCCTCACACCTGCCATCCCAGCACCTTGGGAGGATGTTGAAGCAGGAGGATTGCTCGAGCCCAGGAGTTTGAGACCAGCCTGGGCAGCAGAGTGAGACCTCACCTCGGCGAAAAATCAAAAAAATTAACCGGTGTAGGGGTGTGGGCCTGTAGTCCAGGCTGCTCAGGAGGCTGAGGCTGTGGTGAGTCGTGATTGTGCCACTGCACTCCAGCCTGGGTGAGAGTGATGCTGACTAAAAAAGAAGGTGTGTACAGTCTTTCAAAGACAGGGTAACACAAGAATGCTAACCTCAGTTCCAAGTGAGACTATCTTGGAGAGGCTGAAAAACCATTTATCTCATCATTATCTTCCCTATTCATAAAATAATTTAACTGTTACCTACTTCACTGAGAATCCAATGACTCAATTTTTAAAAATACTTTGAAAGATAATTTTTTTTTTGAGTTGGAGTCTCACTCTGTCGCCCAGACTGGAGTGCAGTGGCCGCTCCCAGCCACCACAGCCTCGACCTGCCAGGCTCCAGTGACCCTTCCACCTCAGCCTTCCGAGTGGCCAGAATTACAGGCGCGCGCCACCACGCCCGGCTGATTTTTGCTTTACGTGGAGATGAGGGCTCGCCAAGTTGCCCAGGCGGGTCTTGAACCCGTGGGCTCAGGCAATCCACTCTCCTCAGCCTCCCAAAGGCGCGGGATTACAGGCTGAGCCACCGAGCCTGGTGAAAGATAATATTAATTAGTGTTGGTAATACCAACTTGTAAGTACTCTTACCAATTTTTAAAAAATGAAAGCGAATCAACACATTAACAGCTACTGAATCTTTCCTAGCATTTTCTGGAATCATCTAAAATGATGAGATTAACTATAAATTTTTTTTTTGAGTTGGAGTCTCATTCTGTCACCAGACTGGAGTTCAGTGGCACATTCGTGGCCACCCCAGTGTCAACCTACTGGGCTCTGGCAATCCTTCCACCTCAGCCTTCCAAGTAGCCAGAACTATAGGCGCGTACTATCACGCCCAGCTAATTTTTGATTTATTGTAGAGACACGGTCTTGTCAAGTTGCCTGGGCTGGTCTGGAACCCACACGTTCAGGCAATCCACTTGCCTCGGCCTCCCAAAATGCTGGGATTACAGGCTGAGCCACCGAGCCCAGCCAACTATAAATATTTTAAACATATAGTATATAATCTAATGCATCTTATAAAAGCCAATTAATTAGCCAGGTAAGTAAAATATAAAAGCAATTATGTACAAACATATTTAAATATTCAGCCGGGCATGGTAGCACACGCCTGTAGTCCCAGCTACTCGGGAGGCTGAGGCAGAAGGATCGCAGGAGCCCAACTGGTCGAGGTTGCAGTGGCTGTGGCATGCCACTGCACTCCAGCCTGGGCGACGGAGTGAGACTCCAACTCT